ATCCAGAATGGGGACCTTTCGATTATCCAGCAAAGGGTCTCGCTATTCAAAAACAGAACATTCTTTTCTAGAAACGCGCCTTTGCATGCATAGAGGCACCTCCTAATACAGAAAAGGGTGGTTCTAATTGATCATGTCGTCTCTAAATCCAGCCAAAAGACTCCCTGTCCAGAAACAGGGCACTCTGATCCGGGGCCGCGGCAATCGGATGCACGAAAGAGGCCTTCTGTTCAGAAATGGATCTCCCTGAATAAAGAGGCTGGCTTCTAACCCAGAACAGGGCCTCCAAGTTCGTAACGGGAGCGTTCATAGCGTTCCCGAGCCAGTAAAGAGGCGTGCTTAACGTAACATTGGGCCTTCTAATCTAGATCATGGGCTACGTTTTTTATTTATGTGGCTTCTTAGTCCAGAAACTTTGAAACCTTGATCTGAATTTTGGTGACCTACGGGCAACTGCTGCGGCTTTAGTTTGGGAAAAAGGGCCAACAAAAAATTAGAGTGAAACAAACGTACGATCGTCCCATGCCACCATGCTGTGCCACCGATATTTTTAGCACACTGCAAGTACCGTGAGGAGGAGAGTTAGCCTGTCTAAAAATCACATTACAGCAAGCTCGAGAGTAATAAAACAGGTTGCTTTTGACCTTGGTTTGACCTTCATATCTGGCTCCAGGTCAATGCTATTTGTCTATTCAGTTGTTGTGTTGCCTGAGAAAGCATCTCAGAGATGTGTGGCTTCGCCTAACACTCCGCTGTTTGATCGGATTAAACGATTCCCTACAACGTGGCTTCGCTGAAACCATGGCCTGACGTTGACCTGCCATAGGACAGCGACCTTACAAGTTACGTCTAAATTGTTGATGCCAAACAATCCGGTATTCAATTGTCTACAGCTGTATTACAGCACAATGTGGCGCCGCTACGCCGCGCGGCTCGGAAACCATTCCGGGAAAACCTTCGGGGAGGTCACTTCGACCCCCCCCCCCCCTATCCCAGCGCGTGTAAATAGAAACGTCCTGTGGTTACCAATTTGTCAAAACCTTACTGAATGCTTCATTTATGAATATATAAGTGCCCATAACACACGTGACCTTTTCCTATGTGCCTTCAACTTGTGCCCTTATAGTGGCTGTCAGGAGCTTTTCCAGCGTGTGAATTGGTCCGCTCTGCCCAAAAGGCCTTAATGCACTTGATGTCAAAGTCAGAGCCGAAGCGCAATTTTTTTATTTTGCCGGAAAAGCTGTGCAGCATTGTTCTGTGCAGAATTGAGGGCAATGCCATACTCTCCTATGCAGTGTCAATCAAGTTAAATAGTTGGCTAAGAACTTTCTCATTGATGTAGATTTTTAAGCATCGAAGCATTTCATAAGCACAAGATTCGTCAGCATTCATCACTACATGAAAAGGGGTCCCGCGTTATAGAATCAGCCGCCAAACCCTAGAACTTATGTGCACGATTCTGGATGAGTGCCAGACCTTTCGTTGTCGACGAAGGTGCGTGAAACTCAATTCTTGTGAATGTCATGGCATTAAGAATTCATTTCAATGAAATTTGATTTGAATGTATTTGAACCAGAATTAGCCTCTCGATCTTTTTGCTTACTTTTCAAGACATTTTAGCATATTCGGCGTGAATGAAGAATTTAATCATAGAGATAATGTGGCGCATTTCTGGAGAGCTTTTCGCAGCCGAACGATAGCGTTAGCTGTTTGAAAAAAGCCTCGTGTGGGAAGACTTTCGACTTTATGTTGTGAACACTACGAAATGCTGTATGTTATGGCTGTGGAAAATGAAAGGAAATCAAAATCGGGTGCTGCCAATTGACCTGTGCGTGATTTGAAACAACAGTAGAAGATGGACTTAGAGAAAACTTCACCGCTTTGAAATGCCTTTATTCTAAGCTTCACAGCCAAATTCCTTTTTCTGTAAGGGTGCCCAGTACCGGTGCGCTGCACAAGCGTGGCTTCAACGCACTGATATCGTATATGGCACATGGCGTTCGCACGAATTGACGCACCATCAGAGGCGCAGTGACAAAACCTGATACTGCTGCATAACATGTCACCAGGCACACCAGGCACATGGCACACCAGGCACATGTCTTTGGTCTTGGTTCACCGAAAAATATTGAGAAAATCACGATATCAAGCAAAGATTAACTACATTGTCAAAATTTGGCATTTTAGTTGTGCCCATGGCTGCTAGCGAACGAGATTAAGCAGGAAAATGGCCGTTAAAAACTAGGAAATGTAAACATAAAAACGTCCGAAATCCGTGCAGGTTTTGCCGTCAAACAATATCGATATAATAAATGATTTAAGTTCATATATTTTAACACCCGATGCATAGTTCAATGCCAAGTGGTGCTTACAATGTAGGTGGATTAGCCGGACGGGTAGGATAATCCATATGAAATGAACTGTTGAAAAGCTACTTACCACCAACCTGCGACATTACAAAGATTGCACGAACATCGCAAAAATCCCAGCTATTCAGCCTCTCGCGTGCCGGCACCCGATACACTTTGTGTATTGTTAATAAGTGTTAGGGGCTGCCCGAAACACAGGCGGCTGAGACGGAAGGTTTCATCAACCCCTACCAGAAATAAGACTAGAAAGGAGCTTTCGAAACAAATAAGATTGATAAGCCCTGGGGACTACGGGCCTTCTCGAGTAACACCACTGTCATCCGAGACACCTGTTACTCATGGGACTGAGCTTTTATCCACACAATACCAATTCATGATCAGTTGTAACCGCCTGCCAACTGTCATCGCATTGTTGCAAAAAACATGTTGCTTGCATTTTCCAGCAATTTAGTTCTACATTCTCAAAGAGTTTTAGGGAAGTTTACAGTCTTAGCTGCCTTTTTGTGTAAATAATTGCAAAAATAGTGTCCATGAAGCTAATATGAAGTAAGTGAAGTGAAGTGAAGTAAAAGCGAAGCATGAAGCTAACGATCACGACGATAAACGAAAACCGTAGCACTGCGAAACATTTTATAAGTATCTACCCTCCGTTCAACAAACGTTTCCCCATAACAATACCCAAGATTCGAATTATCCTAAAATATGTACCTGACATAAAATATGTACCCTTTGCCCCTAACCTAGCATAGCCATGGGTTTATTTCATCCGGTAAGCCCTCTCCTGGAGAAGCAAGCGTCGCCAGCTGGGAATAAAATTCGTCACGCATTTGATGATGAGCTGAAAGAAAAAAAAAATGCGCGGGATAATTTAGCGTGCAAGATCTTTTGCAGCCTCTGTCTCAAGGTATTTTATGTAAGGTAACCAAATGCAATATTTGTGACATGTTTAATGCGCACATTTTGGGGCGCGTATCTGAAGGGGAGCGTGCACATCACTAGGGGAACGAATGACAGACCGACATAAAGCAATAGAGCATAGCGACTCTAACATCAACTTTAAGTTAGAAATCTGGACCACAGCTGAGGACAACGTGTAGCTCAAGAATTCAAACCGCTGCCCATTCATGATTTTTGTCCGAGGTCGAGCACAAAAACATTGTCATGGGACCAGTTCTCCTAATATGTGTCTTGGATTTTGAACATCCTGTCTGCTTAACTCTGTTTTCTCTTGACCACGAGCAAAACAAGAAACGTTGATTTTTGACAATACAAGCAATGGCCGCCTAACTTCGTTTACCTAGTACCTACCGGCGTATTGAAGATCGATTGTTGTCTGCATAAACGCTCTAAAATAACAACGCCGATAAAGCAGAAGCACAAGACCATTCCTGCTTATATCGGCAGAAAAAAACCTGGCATGCAAGGCAAGTATATTAAGTCCCCTATTACCCCTGACTGCAGAAACCGAACAGGTGCATTTAGTCATCCCTGGTCGGCAATCGTCGGGCGCAGCCATTCAATGACTGCCTGACTGGCAGGCGTGCCACTTTCCATTGTTTTGGAACGCGTCACCCACCAATTATTCACCATGTCAACGCGCCTTTAGGGAAATCAACTTCACCTCCCAAAAGGTTTTACAAAATAACTTTCGACCGGCAATGCGTAGTCGCACCAAGCTTTGCATAGCTGTAGGCAATTGGATAGTGGATATTTTGGCATAGCAATGCTGACCTAAGGTAGGACGAAGTCAGGCCGTGGCCGTCAACGGGGGCGATTTCAAGGGAATTATTTAATATTATGCAACGACGGAGCGTTAAACAAAGCCATACATTTCTGCGATGGTTTTCTTTGCAATAGAGCAACTTAAGCTAGGATAATAGCGTATTCCATTGCCATATGACAAGGCGCAAGGGTAAGACTGAGGTCGAAACTAACCAGCACGTTCCAACCGGAAAGGAACGAAATGCGGACGGGTCGGAGAGTCACACGAAAATTGTTTTTTTAACTCGAAAATATGATCTTTAGTCCGTGCAAAAATGCCTGGATTCACGGTGCGGATCGGGTGCATGTAATCCAGTTTGCCATGTGTACCGCTATCACTCGAAATAAAGGGTGGCACTCTACGTTTATGATCACTCGACCCTACACGCTAATGATGTGGTCAGTCTTGCATTTGTATGCACTTGCAAAGGCTTCCTGGTAGTGATCATGCTGGGGAATGTGACGAATGGCGTCAACCGCAAACGTCCCTAAATATAGCTTAAACGTGCAATAGACGCACTGAAAGGGCAAGCTTGTTGTCGTCGTCAATGCCACCAGTAGTGACGAGGTTTGCGGCCATTGATCGGCGTGCTTGAGCGGTCGAGAAGATCTGTGCGACGCCAACAGCCCACAGGCACTGCTCATCAAGTCGTAGGCAGTGACCCGCGGAACCGCAGCGCGGCCTCCAGCAGCTGTACCCTTCATCGGACGCGGCGCCGCCCTCCGCGGCGCGCCGGGCGGCGCGCGCTCGTTCGAGCCGTAATTACCGCTAGGGCGTTCCCGTGCGGCTGGCCGTGACATTGAACTTCACCTTGGCCGAAGGTTGACGCCGGGCGGTCAGCCGTTGGCAGCCCCACCTCCGCCCGCGCCATGGACCCGCCCATGTCGAGAACGCGCATCCCGCCGCCGAGGGAGGCGCCCGGCAACGAGGCCGTCTGGGTGTCCGCCGGTATCCACCGGTTCCCGATGGGCAGCGCCTCGGGCGGTGAGGAGATGAGTATAAAACAGCGGGCGGCGAACGGCGACAGACACAGCTCAAGTCGCAGCTACCTCCTCAGCACCAACATGAAGCTCCTGGTGAGTGGGACTTGTGTCGGCCTGTTGATTTCACTGGCAGGCGGATGGTCCCATGTGATACGCTCAGGCACGATGGATTCCAACTGCACATGCCTGGGATCAGCGATGATCGCAATGGTAAAGTCTTTTTCGCCTTTTTACTACCGCACCATCATCTACGCTGCTTTACGCGTCGCATTACAGCGTATGAACCTGCCTCACTAGAGTGAAAAACAGCCAACTGATACTCGCTCCCTGTTCCAGGTTCTCCTGGCCGTGCTCGGCGCCGCTTCGGCCCAGTACCAGCTGTACACTGGTGCGGTGCCGTACACCGGGTACAACGTCCCACTGGCGTACAACGCGTACCACGCGCCCATCGCCACGTACGCCGCCCACCCCTTCGTGTACCATAGCCTGCCGTACTCGTTCAAGCCCGTCGAGAAGGAGGAGCCCGCATGTTGAGGGTCAGTGATAACGGAGTCTGCGACCCTGACGTGGGCAGTGTTCAATGTCGCTGATGCGGGCCCCGTCAGACTCTCGTGTGATCACTTGTGAGGTCGGATTTAGACTCACTACATGTCAAACAAAGGCTCCACTGAGGCACCATCTCACTGGGGATGTTCTTGATGCAGAAAAGAGGCTGTTGCGCCGTTCTTAGAGAGCTGTTTCGTAGCAATTCAATGTCAACAATCTCCCCAAAGACAATTATGTTGCACTCGTGGATTAAGGGTAATCGGAGATACAACTATGCTTGTGCATTCATCTGGTCCGGTCGCGAAGAGCTATGGTGTTCGTTTCGGTGTCTATTTACCACAATGCAATTTAAAATAATAGTCAAGACGGAAAGGTTTGCTTCGTATCGCAAAAATATTAATACTTCGAGGATCTTGATGCTCCTTGCTGCCATCTCTAAGCACAGAGCTAACACATCTCTTCTTTTTTCAGTCCCGGTCCAAGCGTTCGGCCGATGAGGATCAGAAGGCTGACGATGCCACCCTGTACTCCACCTACGCCGCCCACCCCCTCGGCTACACGGCCGGGCTACCCGTACGCCTACAACACGTACCCCACCGTGTACAACAGCGCTTACAACGTCCCCACCACCTACGCCTACAATGGCTACAAACGCGTACCACGCTACACCCCCGTTCGTGCACTCGCTGAAGAAGCGTGATACCGCCGAGGCGGACCAGAAGGCTGATGACGCCACCCTGATCTCCACCTACGCTGCCCACCCCTTCGGCTACCCGTACGCCCGCGCCGGCTACGCCACGCCGTATGCTTACCGCAGCGTGTACAACACCCCGGCCAGCACCCACCCCATCACCTACAACGCCTTCCCCTACGGCTACCGCTCGTATGTGTACTAGACGATGACGATGCCGAGGAGGTAAGGCGACATGAGCTGTACATTTTGTTTGTCATTGCACTGAACTTGGACATTTGTGCCTGTCGTTGCAATGAACTCGGCAACTTGTGCCCACCTGTGCTCTTAGGCAACTGCTTGTCTGTGGGCCTGTCTTCGTACAGGACGTGGAGACTTGTGCCTGCTCTTGCAATGCACGTGGAAACTTGTGTCTGTTTGTGCTCTGACAAACTGTGCTCATTGTCTACGACAAGCACACGCTTGAACTGAAACTCACTTTCATTGATTACATTGCAACTGGACGTAGCGGTGTGAACCTGCGCACAGCTGTGATTGTAACATGTGAAACGCATTTCATTGTTCTGGCCTGTTCATACTTGTCAATAAAAAGTTAAAATCACCCTTCTTCTCTGCTCATTTACCGTGATAGTGAGACACATGCAAGTGTATGGTCAGCTCTGACAGCAGGTGCGATGTGGCGTGGGGATAGACCAACACGATGCCAGTGCATCACAGTTGGTTCGAGATCCGACTTGGGAGCGCGCCAAGCGCGCGCCAACGGCCCGCATTGGTGTCACGCTGAGAGCGAAAAATTTGCAATGTAGAGAACATTACTGGAAACGCGTGGGGAACACCCGCTTGTAATTCATTAAGCGGCGGTCCGCAGCGAAATTTGATCAAAGCACAACGACTGGGAATAGATCGGGCAATCGTACAGGCGAACGTTCACGGCGGCTCTCGACCGAGAAATTAGACTTGATGTAAGATCTGGACGACGCATGCACGTGATGACGTGAAATAACTGTAAAGCGTAGACCTGCATCTATCATCTACAGATTGTCCCAGCCAGGTCAAACCCCATTAGAGCCATGGTGACACCTGCAGTTTACCTAGAAACTACAGACATTCCGGACACAATCTACATCATGCTGGCGCACCGAATACATCATGCTGGCGCACCGAATACATCATGCTGGCGCACCGAATACATCATGCTGGCGCATCGAATACATCACGCTGGCGCAACGAATACATCATGCTGGCGCACCGAATACACCATGCTGGCGCACCGAATACCACCATGCTGGCGCACCGAATGCGTCATGCTGGCGCATCACTTGAGCTATGCATGTTGGGGCCGTAAACAGACATAAAACACGTAATAGAGATGTAAACAGATGTAGCACAGTTTTACAGCACAGCCCACTGTGATCAATATCCACCAAAAATATGCATCCTTATCACAGTCTTACGTCACCATGAAACAACTGCAAATATTGTAATTTTCGTTGGTGCAAATCATCGCTTGCATTTACACATCTGTTCCTCAACCTGCCCTCATGGGTGTGACCCATGCGGTTGGGAAGTACAAGAGAGCACGGTGCTTGTACAATATTTACCCGTACAATACACATTTTTTGTCTTATTTTTTATTGAAAGCATCGTATTTGACTCAGATTGTCACCCAAAACTCTGAGCAATCCCCTCCAAGTTTGATTTTTACCCCAAAGCTCACACACCAGCCTACGCACATTTTCTGAATAGGGCCTACTCGTAGCCTTTGCCTGGTAGGACTATATATATATATATATATATATATATATATATATATATATATATATATATATGTATATATTCATATATATATAGTATGTGTGTGTGTGTGTGTGTGTGTGTGTGTGTGTGTGTGTGTGTGTGTGTGTGTGTGTGTGTGTGTGTGTGTGGTGGTGTGTGTGGGTGTGTGTTGTGGGTGTGTGTGTGTGTTGTGTGTGTGTGTGTGGTGTGGGTGTGTGTGTGGTGGTGTGTGTGTGTGTGTGTGTGGTGTGTGTGTTGTTTGTGTGGTGTGTGGGTGTGTGTGTGGTGTGTGTGTGTGTGTGTGTGTGTGTGTGTGGTGTGTGTGTGACAAGAAATGGCAATGACGTACATGCCCACCAGCATATTCAGGAACGGGGTTATTACCAGGCGTCGCTTTTTATCACTGCAACTTGCAATATCATGCACATATCCGAAACGTTCATTTACTCAGTGTCATTCATCTCAAACTAAGATAACTGTTGCTGCGAGGAATGTAGGCACACCGGCCCGACGCAATGGGGCAGTTCAGTGTAAGTTGATGGGGCAGTAAGTGCAAGTTCAGTGTATGTTTGCCCTTTATGATTGCCCAGCCAGTCAAACTACAGATGACCCAGCCAGCCAAACCCCATCAGAGCCATGGTGACACCTAAAGTTTACCGAGAAACTACAGACATACCAGACACAATCCCAAATACATCATGCTGACGCTTTACTCAAGCTATGAAAGTTGATGCGGTAAACAGATATAAAACACGTAATAGAGGCGGAAACAGACGTAGCACAGGCCTAAAACACAGATCACTGTGATCAATATCCACCGAAAATATGCCGTCCTTTATCACAGTCCTTGGGTCACCATGAAACAACTGCAAAGATTGTCCATTTTCGTTGGTGCAAATTATCGCTTGCCTTTACACATCTGTTTCTCAACCCTATCCTCATGAGTGTAACCACTGCGGTTGGGAAGTACATGAGAGCACGGTGCTTGTACAATGTTTTGCCCGCACAATGCACATTTTTCGCGTTACTTTTTATTGAAAATATCGTATTTGACTGAGATTGTAGCCCGAAATTTTAAGTTCAACCCCTTAAGCCTGATTTTACCCCACACCTCACAGACCCCGCTACACACATTTTCAGAACAAAGCCTACTTATAGCTTCTTGTCGGCTAGGACTATATATATATATATATATTATATATATATATATATATATATATATATATGTAATATGTCAATCCATGTTGTGGTGATCATTAGCCTCATCATCCTAAGCCTAGGCTCAGGAAACATGGGGTGGGGATAGCGAAGGACCATTGGTGGTTTAAGTGTTTGTTTTTTTTGTCGCTGACCGAATTTCTGTTGCTGACAAAAATTGCTGCCAACAGAGTAGCGCGGACACCACATGACAAAAAATGGTAATGATCGTACATTCCCAACAGAGTAATTAGATACATGTGTTTGTCAAAAGTCTCTTTTTATCACTGCAAATTGCAATATCATGCACATACCCGAAACGTTCATTTATACAGTGTCATTCATCTTATAACAAGGTAATTTGTTGCTGCGAGAAATGTCGGCACACCGGCCCAACGCAATGGGGCAGTTCAGTGTAAGTTTGATCTGTGGGTGGATTTGTTTCCTCGACCGCGAAAAGAACGGCGAAGGACCTCCACAGCCAGGGAAAATGAGTACATGACAAAGTTTCAACCGTTGGCAGGCAGCGCTGGAGCATGGCGGCAAGCATACGCACCTTCTCGAAACCCGCATTTTTGCCCTTTATAAAAACCAGGTGCGCGTTTCGAGCCCCACCCCATCCATAACCATCATACTCGCCACCATACCTTGGCATGCTCCAAGCCTGGCGCAACATATGTTGCGTGGTGAGCGCCTTTCAGTGCGCAACAGCAATCCGTACATACAGGTTTGAACTGGGCGTCTGGACTGCCTGGAGAGGAAGAAGCAATATACTGGGTTCCGTGATGAGCTCAGATTAAGGCGAAGGCGACTTCGCAAATGCTGCGAAGAGGTAGTGGGGGCGTGCTAGAAGAAGGATGCATCGGGGCTACAGAAAGATGAGTCACAGAACTGTTTGAGAAAAGCGAATAGCGTTTCATTTTGTTGTCACACTGGCAAACCAACAAAAAACAAACAAAACAAAACAATACAAAAAAACAACACCAAGCAATCATTTTCAGATGCAGCTAAACTTTACGATCGCTACATGCTTCACGAACGGAAGGTACCAGAAATTCCACGTTCAGATTTGAGTATTTCCTCCGTTTGAAATAAATGACCTGTGTTTCCACCAATACAACAAAGACTAGCTATGGCCGATCCAGCCGTCTCTGTTGCCCTTTGCATACAAGCAACAGTTCGTTTCTTGCTTTGGACATACCGAAGGTCGACATTGTTAGTTTCTTGAATTGTGTGAACTTTGTGAAATGTGTGTCTATCTGAACCATACCCTAAAGAGCTCGGCAAACGGAATGGGTCGCTGTATCTTTTATGACATGAATCC